AGAGAGAGAGAGACAGAGAGAGAGAGAGAGAGAGAGAGAGAGAGAGAGAGAGAGAATTCTTGGAAAATTCTTCTTGTTTACAGAGTGCTTCAACATAACTGATTCTAGAAAATGTTTATTTCTTCCATTAATAAAGTAAAGAGAGTTACATGATCACTAACTTGTATACAAATCATCTTAAATAAATCTAAACCTAAATAATCAAAGAAGCTAAAAGGTACCTTGTGAGATGCAACCTTTTATTTCTGAATGATATCTACAAATTCAATACTAAACATACTAACTATACACTTCAACACAGCAAAATTCTTTTTAAAATGGGTCATGTTTTTTGAAGAAGAGACTCATAGATCTACAAAAGAACAGTTTTAAGATATCCACTATTTTCAGTACACATCTAAATTTAGTAATATCATTAATTAACGACATTTGCCTACCTTACCCTGATCATAGGAAATGGCAAAAGATGAAGATTAATTAATAAAACTGTGACCTTATAATAAACAGAGGTGAAACATATATGTTTTAATTAACCCAATGCCTCTATTTGACTCCATAACATGCACTGAACATTGCCTGAAGGGGGCCAGGATGTGTAATGTGCTGATCAACCACTGCTCTGTATAAAAGAGGCAATATTTAGCACAAATCATGGAAAAGGTCACAACACAAAATTGTGCTCACTTTCTGCTATTGCTAATAGTCTTGAAGTATGACAGTCCAGTGCACACCAAATTCTCCTAGAGGCATTGAGTTTAGAATCAGGTATCATAATTTCTAGCTATTTGGAATCACCACTTTTCAGTAATCCTCTTTATACTGCCAAGAAATTCATATTCATCTCTTTTATCTCTGACGTAAAAATCTATGCCTAGAATTTCTAGCTGGGCAAGTTGGCAGGATTTGTAAAATCTTTTTTTTTTTTTTAATAAAAAGATTTATCTGCTTATTTTCCTTTTTTGGCAGTAGTGCTGCTCTTTATGCATAATATATCTATACTTATTCTCTTAAGAATCTAACATTTATGAAAATTACCTTTTTGAAAAATAAAATGGCTCCCTAGATGACTTATAAAAGGTTATATCATACAAAATTATAATGATAATTATATCAACTGTCAAATTTAGGCTACTGTTATAGAAAAAGAAAACAAAAGAAAAAAATATATATACATGTACATAAAATGAGAATAAAATGGCTTAAACTCAGGTTCTACGACTTAGAGTCAACCCTTGTTCCTGAATTTCCTCTAGCAGCCAAGCTTCCCATGTTGGCTTCATTACAATAAACCTTTCCTTTACATGGTGCAGTTGCACCGGCTTTAAAGCATAATGACAACTGTAGACTATAGGTGCTTATCACTGCTCACAAAAAATCAGTACAATTTTGATAATGAACATACTACATCTGGCTTTTGTAGCTATCCAAATATATTCACATTAATGCATTACAAACTTACGATTGCAATGCATTGATGTGAATATATCATTTACGTTAAGAGATGGAAATCTAAACCAAGAACATATCTAATACATATGTTTGGGATATTGATCCGAGAACATCTTTGGATATATACCGCATGATTACAAAATGGTAACTGAATCCAAATTATTTACACACTTTTGAGTGAACATGCCAAGGCAAAACAAGATGATATTTATGATTTCAAGATATAGGAAATTATTCCAAATACTTTAGAAAATAAAGATCCATTTCATTTTCTTCATAAAGTTCACAAGAACTTTTCAATGGATAGGTCTAAAACTTTTAAAAAGTCATCAAGTGCAAATCCTCTAATCTATCAATTTGTATAACATTAAAGATTTTTTAGGGAAAAATAATGACAGAGGGTATACAAAGTAATAACATATTTTCTAAATTATCTATCTTGATTTAAATCAATTAAAATATATTTTGATTATAAACTGATTTTTCTTGCCTCTGATTATAATTTCAGCAATTGTTTCAAATCACTTCATCTTCATCTATCTTACTAGTCTTAATATACAGCTTTTTAAAAATCTATGAAAACGATACCTATTTTCATTACAAAATATCATAAACAAACAAACATATATATCTATATAACAATATCAATCAATACATCTTAAAACTATAAGACGAAATCAACTACTAACCTTATTGGGCATTTCTTGTCACTTGGTTACCACTTCAAGAATGAGCTTTTACTCTTGAGAGAAAAGGAGAAGCACACCTGGAACATGGTCTTATTATCAGCAAATCTGATATATTAGTATTTCTAATACAAAGATTAATAGTAATAATCATAGTAACAATAGTGATAGTAACATTAATAGCAATAGTAAAAATAACGTAAATAGTAATTGCTATATCATCAGAAACTGCACTAGTAAAAACATTTTTTTTAGACACAATAACTAATAAAAATAACAATAACAATGACAACAACGATAATAATAATCCTTTAATAGGGTAACATCTAAGCCTATAGTTCATACCAATGGTCTGGTTTGAAATCTGTTTATTTTGTTTGCAATACTTAATCATTACTAGTGACTTCCCAATATTGTTTTGCTTTGTTTTGGTGTACAACAGCCTCAAACTGAGAAACCATTACTTACTATAAAATATTTAAAAATCCTTTGTGCATTAATTTTTTGTTAATACCATAACTCAAAATCTACTGCTCTTTGATGCTGAATGGCTCCTGCAAGAAAGAATTCTATAAGATTTCCTACGGTACAACCAATATGGGTTATGGGAATGTACAAGTGATGAAACAGTTCACTGTAAAAACTCAATATGACTATACTTTTGATATTCATATTTCATCAAAAACAGTATTCCGTCTGAAGAAATCACTTATGGTTCATAATAAAACTGAAAAATAAAACACATTTACCACTTATTCCTCATATAAAAAGAATATGTGTGATGCACACATCAAAATAATTTAGATGTACAACATTTATCAGATGTAACTGTATTATTTTTTGTTATCATTTTTCTTGTCATATATAATATATGCAAACAATGGATGCTATGAACACAATACAACTAATAATTTCTATAGCATCAAATTGATTTTTCAGCCATATAAAGGTTTAAACAACTGTTTGATTGGTGGGGGTTTACACTGTTCCATTTCTTTTTATGGAAAAAATTATGTTGTTTCAGTGAATTACAGTAAAGAGTGCATGGAATAGTTACCTCAATAAAATGAAAGACACTTTTCATATGTGACAGCAGTGTCCTTGGGCAAAAGAGGCCCTCAGAATGGTCACAAGAGGCCCACAAGGTGACAAGAATAATTATTAGCCTGTGAAATGATGAACACCATGAACGAATATAATGTTATACATTTTGTTACTATTAGTATCACCATTTAAAAATCAAAAAGTAAAATAAACTTTACTTACAGATATAAAATAAGAATTCCTCAAATCAAAAATAAAGACATGTAATGAGATACACAAGAGTATAAAAAAAAACAATGTAATTTTTTTTAAAGTGACAACAACCCTCTGAGACTCCCATCATTCCAGCAAATAACCTTGAGGGTACTCTTGGGAACAAAACAAACAAACAAACAGCAATGTATGAACCAAAAGCCTTCCTGACCCAGGGACTTTGCTGGGAGATTTGCCCTTGAATTCCCACCAAATACTCATAGACTTGACATAGTCTCCATGCCAGTTGTGGATATATTTTCCTAATTTCTGATACTGCTATTTGCCTGAGCAGATTATTTCATATCTCAGTGAGTTAATTTTTGTTCCTTTCTTTAGACAGTTTCCTTAGATTTCCCCTATTGGTCGTTATGTAAACATATAATAAAACTAGGTGATTTTGCACAATAGTATCACATAATTGCACAGTCTAGTATCCACATATATGGCAATTATTGTGCAGTAGTTCCCCAAACACCCACATTTTTTTACCCCAATTGCAGGGGTGGCCATGAAAAGTAACAGGAGAATTGCAGGTTAAAATGTGAATATAGTTAACTTTTTCTAGTACATCAGCATAATGGACTGCAATGATTTCAGTATCACTGGATTCCTCTCACCATCTACAATGCAAATACATATGTTTCATTGTGTGGGAACCCCCCTAAACCCCACATTCTCAGCCAACGTTCTTGGAAGGAATAAAAGGTACCAGGGAAATTGCAAGGCAAAATGTAAATAATATACAGAGAATCAGCCACTATATTGTCTAGTGAAGGGGGCTGCGCCCCTGCAACCCCTCCATGAGGGGTTGCCATCCCCCACCCCCACCCAGGAAAACAAAGAATCCTCCACATATTCAAGGCAGGAGAGAGCGTCGGACAGACTTGATGAGGCCGCTACTGCATGACAGTCATATGCTCTTTCCTGCTGTGAATGTGTGGAGGAGTCTTTGTTTTCCTAGGAGGGAGCTGGTGGAGGCAGCCCCCCATGGGAGGGTCACAGGTGGAGGAGCCTCCTGCAATAATTATATTAGCTGATTCACTATATATTATTCATATTTTTTCCTGCAATTTCCCTGCAATTTTATGCCCTCCCCTGCTATTGGGGCCAAGAATGTGGGGGGTTTGAGGGATTTCAGCGCAATCATTTCTATATATCTGGAAACTAGAGAGTGGAAGGAGTCCAATGATAACAAAATCATCATGCTCTGTTATGAGGGTGTACTAGAAAAAATTACCATAATTTACACAGTATCAATCACTGAACACAGCCCCCTGCATTAGGCAATATATTAACTGATTCTGTGTATATTAATCATATCTAACAACGCAATTTCTCTGGTACCTTTCATGCCCTCCCCTGCTACCAGGCTCCAGATTGTTGCTGGTGGGAAGCGGGAGCTTTCAGTACAATAATTTCTATGTATCTGCATGTTAGACAATGACAGGAATCCATCAATACCAAAATCGTCGCTATCCATTAAGCAGAACTATTGCCCAAAATTACCAAACAATATACCGGTAATATTTACATGGATTACTCCAAACCAATCTGGACATAACACGTCACCTCAGTTTATCCCATCTGTCCAGAAAAATAACATCTATTCCCATAAGAATTTAATCTACTGGCTTATAACATTAATGTATGATACAGAAATGTTATAGATTATACAGACAGTCACAAGCAGAGTCAATGCTGCCGATGTTTATTCCTGAATTGCTTTGTTTTGGTTGGAGACATTCATTTACTACCAGATACATATCCTTGCTGTCATTGTCCCCTTGACTTTTATATATCGACTTTTGCTACACATCTTCTACTCTCTTTTTTCCTCGAAAATACTCACGTACACAACTGCTTAAAAGAGAAGATTTAATAAACTTAAATTCGAGAATTGTTTACCTCGTAAAGCCCGCCGTGTTTCTCTTCTGGAAACAGCTGATCACGTTCGAGTATCAAGACGAAAAAGTCTCGTTTTCATTTATGTGTATGTATGTATATATNCAAACACACATACACAAACACATGTATGTATATAATGATTCATATGTAAATATGTGTGTGTGCTTTGTATGTATATGGGCACAGTATCCAAATAACTCTGTGCTGACTCGCTGAAAATGAAACCCACGTCATTATGAGTTTCTGAACATTGCGGATCTCAGTGCAAAAGCGAAGAGGAACCAAAACGTCCGAAAAAGATGATGCACGAGCAGGTCGCCCGCTAATCGCAACCATCAGGCACCAGGTCGAAGACCAGGTCTCTCTGACTCGGCTGGGTTGGAAAGGTGTAGTCAGAGATGTTGCAGAGGATGCAGAGGCATGGTTCGCAGGCGGCGTATTCACAATGCGAAAAGCCTTTGTCAAGTCCGGTTTCGGATTCCCCAAAGCCGGTGAATATGGCAACGCGAATCTACCGAATGCCGCGACGCCCACCAGGGGATCGGAAGACGGGGACGGCACGGACTGCGGTACCGCCTTTGGCACGCACGAGGCACCGGCACGAGATTCCCGACTGCCAGAGCACCAGCTTGCATCCCTTGGGGCGGAGAGAGGACGTACGGCAGACATAGCAAGGCTCGCGTGTCCAAGGCAGGCAGGGACAAGTGGGCAAAGGGACGGCTGGGGATCGGCATGCTTGATACAAGGGCCGTTTGGAACACGAGAGGGCTGAGTCAAGCGGGAAAGGAGGATAACCAAGCGTAGAGAGAGAGGAGAACAGGAGCGCAGGTCGTCCTCTACGTCGGAAGAGGGACCAGCGCGGAGTAACAGACAGAAGAGGGAAGAAGAAACCTTTCTTTATCGGACAAGAAAAAGGGCAAGAAAAAGTGTAACGACATCCCAATATGCTCGAAGTTTTTATATTAAAGATACGTAAAAAAAAAAAAAAAAAACGAACAGGGGAAAATTCAGACTTACCTTGTGCAACATTATGTATGCCAAGCGCTCCTTCTTATCTTTCATCTTCTCTACCAAGAAAGAGAAAGAAAAAAAATCAAACTTATCGCACACACACTCTACACAGACAACACACTGGTTGCTGTTGTGCCTAAAGAAAGAAAGATGAAAAGGAGAGAAAATGAAGAGTTTAAGAAGGGACGGATGGTTAGATGACCATAGGGTGTACAGGTAAGTCCCGTGTGTATGTATGTGTGTAGCGTGGGCGCGCGTGTAGTGGGGGGGGGTCAGAATCTAAAGGAATCCAAAAAGGAGGGAGAAATGCAAAAAAAAAAAAAAAAAGACGTAATATGATCCGGAACTATATTGGGAAAGAGCGCGCGGCAGCAAGGATATAGGGTCATGCACTCGATTTTTTTTCTTTTATATAAAGACAGTAAACAGGCGCAGAGGGAAAAGAGTCTTTGACTTAGTGTCTAAGTATAAAAACTCAAAGAGACAAGAAAAACATTGTTGAAGACCGCTAAAGCATGAGTTAGATACATAAAACACACACAAGAGAAGATATCGCACACTACACACATCACAACACACACACACACACATACCACACACACACACACACACAACAGCACAGACAATCAGCCAGAGCCACACAACGCGAGAACATACACGGAAAAAATATACACGACATACGTATAATAGACATGACGTATCTATATCATTATCTTTAATCTGCTGATATATCTACTAGGCTTAACTACATAATACACTTATATGTGGATAGAAAGAAAATAGACAGGCAAATAGCTGTAATAGTTTAGCATAGATGGGAAATAAAATGTGAATATATCTATATCTAATATCTATCTAATCTATCGTATCTAATCTATTCTATCGTAGCTACTCTATCTATACTATATATAATATATAATATATTTATTTATATATAATATATATATATATATTATTCATAATATATACAAGCCAGCACACTATTATTTATCTCGAGCATCACATCACACCACTACACACAATCATATTATGTAATAATAATATATAATATATATATAATATATCAATAATATATATTATATTATATATATGAGTATTATCTATATATATACACGCACACGACACATACACACATCACAACACGGCACAGCCGACACACAGCACACATCACACACACATATATATGTGTGTGTGGTGTGTGTGTGTGGTGTGTGGTCGTGTGTGTGTGTGTGTGTTGTGTGTGTGTGTGTGTGTGTGTGTGTCTTATGGTATGTATGATGTAATGTATGTATAATATGTATATGTATATATGTACAGTATCATACTAGTACTATATATATATATATATAATATATATATATATATATATATATATAATATAATATATAATTATAATAATGATTATATTATGATTACAGACACACAAAATGGACGTGAATAATATCCAACAAAAGGATTAAAACTGATGCGTTCCGATTAAACTTCATCTGAATTACACGAATTTAATCGAAAAGCGTCAGTTACCAGTTTTGCGCTGTGGAGTAATTCATTTATTTATTTACACATTTCCTGCTTTTGTCACGTTGGAATTTGTTCAGCAGTGACTATGTTCTGTCGAGTGAACATGTCTGATAACTGGATTGAGTACAGGTAGAGATGCTGGATTCATAACACTGTATTCATAATGATTCTGTATTCTGTATTCGTAATTCGTAAGTTTCTGGCATCTTCTCGCTTGCTTCCGTACATTGAACTATTATGTAAATGAAATAAAACGCATATATATTTTTCTTGGGTATTGTATTCTTCTTAAAAGATCAACAGCATAAAAGAGGGGATTTTATTTTTCCTTCAGAAATAGATTTTTTTAGTTTCAGATTTATTCTACTTAAAATAAAGGCTAATGTAGGAAATAACTTAGGATTTGAAATATTCAATTGTTAAACAAATAATAGGACTGCAAACGTTATTTATCTATTTTTCATCTAATTCTATCGGAGAATAAACGTCCTACGACTTATGCAATCCAATAAATTACATTTTTATAAGAAAAAAAAAAAGAGTAAAATAATAGGAAAAACAATTAGTAAAAAGGAAAACGATAAGGTATCCAGGAAAAACACGCAGGAAACACACACACACATTCTCAACACACACAACAACACACACACCAACTCACACATCATTCTCTTCTTAAACTCACAACACACACACTCAAACACACACAACACACACACACTACAATTCTCTTTACACACACACACTGCAATTCTCTTAACCACACACACATTTCTTTTACACACACACACACCACACAACAACTTAACTCACACACACACACACACAATTCTCTTTCAATTTCTCTTTCCACACACACACACACACACACTCAATTCTCTTTACACAACAACACACACACAAACACACACACTCAATTTCTCACTAACTCACACACACACACACACACTCAATTCTCTTTACACAACACAGCACACACACACACACACACTCAATTCTCAACACACAACACAACCACACACACACACTCACCACACACACACACACACACACACACACAACAAAAGAGAAAGGGGCTAGGGAAAGCGCAGAGAATGAGCTGGCTGGCCAATGTTTACTTCATTACAAAGTTCTAAGAGTCAGGCCAATGGGTGGAAGAGGAGGGGGGGAGGGGGGGAGGGGGGGAGGGGGGAGGGGAGGGGAGGGGGCCCAGGTGAAGGGTTGAACAAACGATTGCTCGGGAGAGGAAGAGGAAGAAAGACATGCGGGTAAGAGGTAAGGGGGGGGGGAGGGAGGAGGAGGGGAAAGGATGAGGGGAGGGGTTTATGATCAGGGTTTCATGGAGACTGTGAGAAGTAAAGGAAATGGTTTATTGACGCAAAAGGGAGAGGGAGAGAGAGAGAGAGAGAAGAGAAGAAGAAGAAGAAGAAAGGAGAAGAATAAGAATAAGAAGAGGGAGAGAGAGAGAGATAGAAGAAGAAGAAGAAAGAAGAGAGAGAAAGAGATGGGAAGGGAGGAGGGAAGAGGTTGAGATAGAGAGAGAGAAAATTGAACAAAGCGGGGGAGGTTTTAACACATAAGAGAAATAAATGCACACACACACACACACACATTCACACACACACACACACAACACACACACAACATTACACAATATAATATATAATATATATATATATATATAATATATCATATGTTGACGCGACAGAGCTTAGTCCTTACGGTACGATTAGACTACGACATAAATTTCACTGGAATCCAGCGATTTTTCTGAGGGCAGGAACCAACCCACCCCATCCGCGGTTCTTCACACTGCGAAAAGAACCATCGGCTCTGTCCAGTGGAATCGCGGCATCAAAACAAGTCGCAGAAAACTCGCTATGGATCCCCGCAATTTTCTTCCCGAACTCTTGCTTCCCTTTCATGTTTCCGGAGGTCTAACCTTTTCTAGGAGGGAATAAATTGCTTCAGAACATCTGCGGTATTCACGGGATTTGGGTTTCACCTTGAAGTTGGCGGCTACGCATTTGTTTTATTCGAAGTCAAATGAGAATCCATGGTCCATAATTTTGTTATTACTTTTTTTTCGCTTGATTAAATTTAAATGCAAATTATCTGATTCTGAATAATTTATAATGCATAATGATAAAATATTATGCGCGCACACACGCGCAACGACACACGCACACACACAGCAGGACATGACACACACACATACACACAACACACACACACACACACACACACACACACATAGATCCACACATATATATATATATAAAGTATAATATATATATATAACTATATATATATATAGTAGTATAGAGAGAAGAGAGAAGAGAGAGAGAGAGAGAGAGATATATAATATATCGAGAGCAGGAGAGGAGATTCTAGAGAAAAGAGAGAGAGAGAGAGAGAGAGAGAGAGAGAGAGAAAGAGAGAAATAGATATAGATAGGTAATAGATAGAGAAAGAGGGTAGAGAAAAGAGTGACGAG